GGCATGTTGGAGAGAGGAGAGCAATAATTAAAGTTTTGTGAATTTGCTCAGACTCTGGTTTAGTCCTTTAGGCCAGGCAGACACAGGTGAATGTTTTAGGGCCTGGAACCCCTTTTAGGAGGGTTAGGGTTTTCCCTGATCTTGCCACTAATATAATAAACAAGAACAATAGCTACTGTGCATTCAGTGCTTCCTGTAGGCCAGGCCCTCTGAAAAGTGCTTTATGTGAACAATTTCATTCAGCAGCCCTAGGAGTAGGGCACTACTTCCATTTTACAAGGGAAGAAAAAGCCACTCAGAGAGGTTGAGTAACTTTCCCAAGGCCCCTCAGCTTGAAGGCATTGGAGCTGGGATTTGAATCCAGACTCCTAAGCATAATGTTAACCAGCCCTTAGTTTCTGCCTTTTGAGGTACAGGCCATTTCAAGGAGCCAGGAATAGGATGAGTGTACAGTTAGATAAGTACCGGAGTAGAAATAGGGGGACCTTGGCAACATCCCCAGCCTCTCTTAGGTCTGGGCCAACCCCAGTCCTGCACTAAGAGGCACAGAAGTGCAGGGGCGGGTGTTGGCAGCTGCCCATGCAGGCATAGCCCAGGCTTTGGACCTGGGTCGGCGCCAGGCTCTTGTTTATTGTTTCATTGTAAGTCTGTGTGGACCAATGCCTGCTGCAGACGGGAATCGTCTCCCTCCAGATTCTGCATCTCATTCCTAGAACCACCGGGTCATCATAGGGCCACACAGCCCACATTTAATTTTTTTTGGGCTCTTTCCATCAGTCAATCTGTGGGCCTCCTTAATTATTTTTATTGCTTTTCTCTGAACTCTTCAATTTGCGAGCATATTGCCTTTCGGGTAGTGAGATACCAGAAATGTTCAGAGAAGCTATAATCTGTGTATGATGTAATGCTTTGGCCTAAGAAGTTGAAAATCATAGTAGTCGTTTGACCTGCCATTGCTCTCATAACCTGCCATCAATTTGGTCATCTCCAATCAACTTGACTTTTTTTTTCAATTACGGTGAATACGTGGTTTGATGTCAATATAACTTCCATCTGGAATATTCCAAGATGTGTGCATTAAAAGCAAAAACAATGATGCAAATTCAGGAAGCAAAAAGAAATAATTTTTTGGTCTTTGCTCATTTACTGATCACCTACTGTATACCAGAGCCCAGACGCCATGTTCAGAGGAATCTTATCTTGGAATGCTTGGAATATTTTAAATATTTTGTTCATTAAAGATTACTCTTGTTTTCTGGGACACACTTTTTCATTTAAGAACTTTAAAAAATATATGTTTTTATTGATTTTAGAGAAAGAGTAATGGAGAGGGAGAGAGAATGCGTTGATGTGAGAGAGGAACAGCCATCAGCTGCCTTCTGTGCACCCTCCTCCCCGACTGGGCATTGAGCCCACCACCCAGGTGCATGGGACAAGGCTCAATCAACTGAGCCACACCAACCAGGGCTGGGACACCCTTTTAATCATTAGATGTTGGCTCTCCTGTTCTTATTTGTAGATTGGTAGCTCTTAGTTTCTGGTGGCAGTGACCCATTTGTGATTCAGGTTACATGTAACAATCTTTGGTTTGGTTATTTTGAAGTGAAATATAGTTTGGTAAGAATAGTTATAGCAATCAGGATATCACCTGAAAAGGTTAACCATATCTAAAACTCTTTTTTCCTAAGAAAAACACACAACTAAGTGAAGTTGGAGTTTAAAAAAATAATTTAAACTCAAGTCCACAACTTGCCTTCCCTCCAATGTAAGCCACTCTGATTATTTTTTAAGCCTGTTTGTTGTTAGAGTAACTTCAGTTTTTTCACTTTTTATTATTTGCCCAAAGATGTCTACATGAATATTAGTTCCCAAATGATGGTCTTGTCTCTCCAGAAATTAAAAAAAAAAGAAGACATTGCTGATCCCAGCTGGGCCCACAGCCCCAACAGCTATGTCCCTGATCTCGGGATGGCACAGATTTTGTTGTTCCTCAAGTTGGTTCCGTTTGGAATTTAGGCCCATGAGCCTCTCAAAAGGTTTCGTTCATGGTGTAAGAATTCGTTTTCTTCCAAGAATCTACCTAGGTTTCAAAGTTGGCCTCATTTTCTGGAAGGTCAGCCTTACCTGGGGGTGAAGAGGGGTGCCAGTGGAAATGCATTTCTTTAGTCCATTTTGTTTGAAAATGAAAACAGATCCATTCTTCAGTGTGTGTCTTTGGTTAAAAGCAGGAACACAATGCCACCGCCAAGTACCACCCTAAAAACTACTCAGCAAAGTCACGACAATATCCTCTCTTGAACCTCTCCCGACTTTGTGTCTTTCTGTAATATACAGTATAATTTATAAAAGTGTGAGCAACTGTGGAATTGTTCTCCTAATAGATTCTGAAGATTCCAATTTCCATTCTGCCACACAAGACTGAAAATCCACTTGTGCTCACTTATCTGTATCTGTACCTCATCCCCACGCTGCATCAAAAATCAGGTTCAGGTGCAGGTTAAGAGCACGCATTTACCTCCAGAATATGGGGCTTATTAAATATCTCTCCACAATTAACATCACCATATCAATAAGAATTATCATTAGGTCCTGTCAATCAGGTGCTGAATTTTGCTTCAGGGAAACAAAACAATTTAAATTAAAGCAAGTGCCCCCCCCTTTTTTTACATGCTCCTCTTTAAATTGGATAATTACGTGGCTTTTCATTAGATTCCTCTAAGCATAATAGATCACAATATTCACCCTTTGACCTTGGTGATGCATGTTTCTGGTGAAAATATGTGACAAGCGGGGTTCTGAAGAGAACAAAATAGGGAATAACTGGAAATTGTGTAAAACGAAAGGGAGAAGCACGACGAAAGCACAACAGCCTTGAAGGTGGATGCACAAAATGTATTCGTAAATGGGGCGATGATATGAATTGGGGTGAAAAGAGGCTATTTTTGGTTGTGCATGGAAACGCTGATTTTTCTTCAGGAAAGCTGCACATCAGAAAATACCAGTCTCGATTGAATGGCCAGCACAGATGGAGAGAATCCGCGGGGCTACGGGGAGATTCACATGACTCGCTGCATCGTGGAACACCTGCAATGGGAATCTGAGGGCACTTCTCACTTGATTGCTCTTTATGGGAGCTCCAAATGTGAGGACGGCTTAAAATGGAGGTGATTTGGTCTTGGGGGATCTATAATCTTATAGGGGATGTCGGGGAAAGACAAGAGGAGCAGGTAGAGCTCTCATCTCTCCACCCACCTCCTTTTGGTCAGTGCCTGGGCAGCCTGCCCTGCTGGAGCTTGGGTACCTCCCATATCGCCAAAGTCTTCATCCTCTGATGGCTGAAGGGGGCTGGGGCATCCCAACGCGGGCCCATCAAATCTCATTATCCCATTTATGACTTAGGGAATGGCCCAACCATGACCCAGAATGACATGCTAGAAGGGCTGGGAATTGACCATAGGTTGGTCTAACTCCCAGGTCCATGTTTTCTAGTTAAAGGCAGCACATAGCAGAATAGCATTGCATCTCCCAAGAACCATCCATGCCTTTGCCGTAAATTTGTCCCCAACTGACCTTTCCAGGCCTTGCACTCAGAATTGATTTGGGTCATTATGAACTTAATATTACTATCAATCTTGCTAGTTGTGCAATTTATTTTGCTTAACAGAGTACATGCAAGAGAAGAAACATCTGCCTCCATAAATTGATTTCTTCCGGAGAATTCCACTTTGGGATAAGAATTTGCAGTGATTAATGTGTGTGCTTATAGAGGATTAAGAAAGTGACCAGGTTTGAAACCACCGTTCCTTTTGTTTACTTGCAGATCTGGTCTGCTTAAGGTCAAATTCACACTGCACCCTTGTTCCTGACCTCCACCAGGTAGATTCAGGTGGAGATATCCTCAGTGGCAGCAATCCTTTGCCTCTTTGCACAGAGCCTGTCAGGAAGAGAAATAGTTAAAGTCCATTTTGAGCTCAGTCTGGGATTTACCTGTGATTTGTCGTGGACATCAGGCAATTACTGGCACACAGAGCTAAAGGAGAACTGAGAGAAGGAAGCTCGGCCTCTCCAGCAAGAACATTATCTCTGCATCAGTCACCGTTTGCATTCCCATCTCAACTGTACACAAAAGAGATCTTTTACCTTCTCCCTAGTCAGCCATATGCTGCGATAACTGGAAAAGATGGGTAATAGTGGTTGTTGAAAGTACGTGGGGGCTCCAGTAGGTGTCCCTAAGAGCTCCATAAGAGGGGCTGTCATTTTTCTCTGAGATTTACACCTTCAACACAAATACATCAGAGTGGAGGTACTAGAAGTCATCTGAAGGAACTGAAATAGTCCTGCAAGCCTACACAACTCAAATACAACCTGTTTGAACATTTTATTAGACAATCTAAACAAAGAATGATTTGATCAGAAAGGGGGAAGGTTGCTCAGCCATGGAAGCAGGATAAAAATAGAGAGAGTGGAAGTCAATCGACAGGTAATTTCTGAAGCTTTTGGCAGTGGTGTCTCTAATGCAGTGATGGAAGCCATAGCCATTAGGTGTGTGTGACAGTCTTCAAGGACGCAGGGTCCTTTGATAAGAACATTCTATCCTATCATGGTGCCACGTACACATTTAGTGTTTTTGTCTTGATTCAGTGTTCATCAAATAGCCTTCAGATTGTTGCTTCCTGGGAACATTTGCCAACAGAAAGCAGACACAGTGATGACATTGGCTTAGATTATCCCTGACAGTGATTTCTCACTAAAATTGCTAATTATGTGTTTTGATTTTACACATAGAATATTATATTCCTGGTGTGTGTCCAAAAAGAGTTGGGCCAGTCCTCTCTCTGCTGACAAAGGCAGGATCTTGAGCCTTCAAGCTTAAGACCTGGGGCAGTGGGAATTCACTAAGCTGATGCCATGCTAAGAAGCCTCCTCCAGTAAAAGCTGCTTTCACTTCACCTTGGCACTTACCTGGAAGCATTAAAAAAACATTTTAACTATTTTTAAGTGCATTTACATCATCACTATCCATCTCCAGAACTTTTTCATCATCCCAACCTGAAACTTGGTACCTATTAAACAATACACCCCATTCCACCCCGCTACATCTTCTGGTAACCACTGTTCTACTTTCTGTCTCTGTGGATTTGACTGCTTTAGGTACTGTGGGTAAGTGGAATCACATAATATTTGTCCTTTTGTGTTTTATGTGTTTCATGTAGCATAATGTCTTCAAGTTTCATCCATGATGTAGCTAGTATTTGAATTTCCTTGACAGTGACATCAGAGGAATGCAGCGTAAGGACAAATCTTTTCCTTTCCCCCAGACATTTCAACAAGTTTCCCATCTATAATTCAACAAAGAAATCCCTGCTCAGCACAGACGCACACCTGAGAAATCCGAGCATGGAAACAACTGAAGGTGAGCATCTGAGAATTTCCTTCCTTTTAAAGCTGAATAATAGTCATGTATATACCACATTTTGTTAAACCTTTCCTCTCCTGATGGACATTTGGATTGTTTCTACCTTTTAACTTGTGAATAATGCAGCTATAAATATGTATGTACAAATATCTATTCAATCCCTGCTTTTAATTCTTTTGAATATGAGAGAAAGCGTCATACATTTCTCTATTATTCATACCTGATCTTTTCATAGTGGTCTATATTTTACAGAGCATGTCAACGTATTTTTTGAATGCTATGAGTAGATAGGTAAGAAGATAGACGGGTTATCATCTTCACTCTGTTTAAGGTAAACAGAGGTTCAAAAAGGCAAATGGAGGATCTTGGAGTCAAATGCTGACCTTCTAACCACAATCCTAGGGCTTTTTAAAAAAAAGAAATCAAAAAGCAATGTTTGT